CTGGTGACAATCTTTTTTTCTCAGTTATTTGTAGTTTTTATTTGTCTTTAGTAAGTGAAGGAGTTTTCCACTCAAAAGGATACATACATAATTCAACTTTTTTGTTTTTTCAGTCTGGTATTTATTTTTCTATTTAGCATGAAGGCAGGGATCTGCTTTTTTTTCCCAAATAATTATCAAGTTACCCCAGAATCATTTGTTAAACCTATCCTTTCACTGAGAGTTTCAGATACCATACATAAATTCTGGAATATATATATGTATTTCTTGAGCTTTTTCTTTTCTTCCATCTTCTTACCTTTAAGCTTCTAGAGAATAAGGACCAAGACTGCTTGGTTCATTGCTGTAGCCTCAAGGATTGACCCTGTAGTACAGTGGGGGCTGGATATGTTTCTTGACAGATCATCTATTTCTTTTTATACCATTGGTACATTTTTAATTACTGTAGCCTTACAATAAGTATTTTGTATGTATTTTATGTCTTTTTATTTTTTAACTTTCCTTAGCTAATATAAAAAAGTCTTCAAGATGAGCATCAGCAATATTTTTAGTCCCCCAGAAAACTAAGATTCTGATTAAAATATAATTAAATATATGACTTATTGGGAAGAATTGTTACCTTTATGTTGTTTTATTATCCAAAACATATTGTTTCTCCATTGTATTAAATTTATTTACTTACTTGTTTATTTATTTTAGTCTTACTCTCTTCTCTTAATAGGTGTAATAATTTTCCAAGTAATTATCTTGGGATTTCTAGGTTTTAAGTAACGTTATCTATAAATAATAATTTTATCTCCTTTCCAGTATTTATTGCATTGGCCAGGGTTTCCACTATTAACAGTAAAAAGAATCAAGTTGATCTTGATTTTTACAGTGGAAGGTAAGGCCTTAAACTAGAAGGCCTGGGCAGAAGACTCTTTTGTAGAGCTAATAGGACAGTGATTCAAGGCAAAAGGAGTATCCTTGATCCTTGAACAGCATCTGTCTTTATCATGTAAATCTCCGTTTAAAAAAAATTTTTTTTTGTTAAGAGAGGGGAAGGGGGTGCAGGAAGGGACAGAGGGAGTGGGAGAGAGAGACACTCTAGCGTGGAGCCCACTGCAGGGCTCTAGACAGGGCTTATGTCCAGGCTCAATCTCATGGGGCTCCTGGCCAGGCTCAGTCATGACCTGAGATCATGACCTGAGCCTAAATCAAGAGTCAGTGCTTAAACAACTGAGCCACCCAGGCTGCACACACATCATTACAGGGCCTCAACTAAACTCCAGAACCAGATACACGGGGATAAATGGTGGGCACTCCTATTTTAAGCATCAAATCACAAGCAGTTATCTATATAATTAAATAGTATGGTTAAGCAGTTTAGGATTTTTGTTTTGGCATGGATTTCTACCTTAAAGAACTAGTGCCCTCTTGGGCACATGATCTTTGAATTCAAAATGTGTGGTATTTCTGAATTTGAGAAATTACTGATCCTTTGGGTAAGAGGAAGAAGGGAACAGTGGTACATGGTTGGAACGAAAGACAGAACAAAGCACCACAGCCCTGCTTCCTGTACTCAGTACGTCCTGTGTTTGCCATTAATGGAGTTGGTTTGAATATCCAAGCCTGGTTATAACAAGCAATTTGCAAAGGTCCTATTATACAGCTAGCCGGAAGCCGTTGATTACGATACAGAATTTAGAATGATTAACAGTCACAACTGTATCACTAAATGCTTCTGTCCCTGACTGTTGTGCGGATTCACCCTGTTCTTTTTTTTTTTTTTTAAGATTTTATTTATTTATTTGACAGAGATCACAAGTAGGCAGAGAGGCAGAGAGAGAGAGAGGAAGCAGGCTCCCCGCTGAGCAGAGAGCCCGATTCGGGACTCGATCCCAGGACCCTGAGATCATGACCTGAGCCGAAGGCAGAGGCTTAACCCACTGAGCCACCCAGGCGCCCCTCACCCTGTTCTTTGTATAAAATTTTTTTATTCAGGAGCACAGCTCATTTGGTTGATTGAGTTGTGGATAGTTTTTTTAAGTATTTGGGGGAAAAGAAAATTGTGAGCAACCCTTTAAATAAAGTAGAGAAGAATAATAGATTTATTTGGACTTATAATTTTATTTTTAAAATGATCTACCAGAGTTGCACAATCTGTAAATTTCATAAGTCAGATATTTTACGTAGACACATTTTTATTGGTCATTATATAATTTTACTGGCACTGTTCATCCTTTTACCATAGTTTTACTGTTGCTTTCCTGGTTTCAGTTTGGTGATTTGTTATTTGCCCTGTCTGACTGGCTTTGTGTTACTTGTATACTGTGAATTATAAATGCGAAAACTAGTAAATTGTTATGCCTATGATTCAGGAGGAAAGGTATACTGAGCACAAAATTTTGATTAGTTGTGTATCATCTGAATGATAAGCCTTGGGACATAGTGTCCTCCAACAAGATAAATTGATACAAATGGATGTGTTATTTGCTGAATTGTCAGATACCTCATATTACTCTAGGTTTTTCTTTTTGATCATAAATATTCTGTTTAGGAGAAAAGCAAAACATGTTTCAGTTCTCCATTCCTCAAACTTGATCCAGTGCAGTTGTGAAGAGTTCGAAGGGAGAATTTTTCCTATATAACATGAGGGCTTCAACACTACTGGCAACCAAAGAAAGGGAAGGGGAAGTGAAAGCTGTTGAGAGAAGACAGAGGAGACAAAGGTCAGCAAGGATACAGGAAGCTAAAGATGAAGATGTTGGTGATTAGATTACAAAATGTAAACTACTGAATGGCAAGAATTATCTTTTTTACATTGGCGACTTGGATAGTGGGTACTCAGTCCGTGCTACTGCATGAGCAAAGATATGACCATCTACCAGTCACTTAACTAGCAACTTCACTTCAATGCCCGCATTTCTTCCACCACTTTCATCCTATAAGTCACCATTTGTGGTTAACTCTACATCTGAATCATGTTATAAATCTCTCCTCCTTTCCATTTCCAGTACCACTGCTCTGCTTCAAGACCTTATCATTTTTGCTTCCCAGATGGCTTTCTCTCTTCTCTTTGGAAGTTTAGACTACATGAAACCATCGGGATTATTGGTCTAGAACACAGATGGGATAATATCATTCTCTAGTTTAAAAACCCAAAATGAGGGGTTCCTGGAGGGTTCAGTTAGTTAGGCATCCGACTCTTGCTATCAGCTCAGGCCATGATCTCAGGGTTGTGAAAGCGTGGAGCCTACTTAAGAGTCTCTCTCTCCCTCTGCTCCTCCCCACCCTGCCTTAAAATAATAATTAATTAAATTTTTAAAAAGATTTTATTTATTTATCTGTCAGAGAGATCACAAGCAGGCAGAGAGAGAGAAGGGGAAGAAGGCTCCCCACTGAGCAGAGAGCCTGACGCGGGACTCGATCCCAAGACCCCGAGATCATGACCCGAGCCGAAGACAGAGGCTCAATCCACTGAGCCACCCAGGCGCCCCTAATTAATTAATTTTAAGAAATAATAATAAAAACCCAAAATGACTTCTCATTATAGTCAAAAGTCCAAACTCTTTAGCATGACAGTCAAGCCTTTTTTTACAGTCAGACCTCATCCTGTTTCTTACCTAGTATACCACCATCCCCCTCCTTGTGCTGTGCTACTCTGATACTCAGAGTTCACCAACCTCCATAGATCGTGCTCCTCCATGCTTTTGTCTAAGCTGTGTCTTTCTCTGTATCCTAGATTATAGTCCTGTAACATCCAAATAGAATATACCTTCTATTTCTGGAACTTTCCTCACTCTGTTGGTCTTAACCCCCAGCAGAATGAATGGTTCCTGTCTCTGCTTCCGTTATGCTTTCTGTATAACTCCTATGAAACTTCTGTTCACCTTGTATTGTAAATTCTTTTTTGACAGTAGATTGACTCCTTAAGACTGGTAGTTTCCTATCATTTATTTAGCAGAATGCCTAGCATATAACAAGTAGTACTATGTGTGTCATCATCTCATTTAATCTTTTCAAACAGCCTTATGAGGTTTGGTGCTACTGGAGAAATATCCCCTTTTTACAATTAAGTAAACTGAGCTAAAAAGGCCTCACAACTGGTACGCAGTAAAACTGGAATCCCAGCCTGGATCCTCCTAACTAGTAAAGTCCATACTCTTAACTATTTTGCTGTATTTCGCCCCCCAACATCTGTGTATCCTTGGTGCCTGCTACCCTTTGGTACAGTAGGTGCTCTGTCAGTGCTTATTGACTGAATGAATTATAAAAACTCCAGTTCACACAGAACTTGGAGGCACTGTGATTTCCATTGAAAGGGAGAGTGAAAGATATCAGTGCACCATTCATAAAAATAAAATGTTTAAAAGAATTTTAATGTATTTGAACCAAAATACATACATATACAAAACAACTCAATGTGTTATTGACTGGGTCTCGGAAATGTTCAACTTGGGGAAAAAGCTTCATTTTCTAAATATGCTGGCTTTTGTAATGCAGGACACCACATAGTACTACATAGTTATAAAATGTCTTGAATTGATTTTTGGGAGACTGCTGCCCCCTTACTTCTGTCTTTGTAATAAATTTCTCACAGGTCAGGTAATCTAATTGAGCTTTTACTGGCATAATACATTGTAGAGCTAGCCATATAATGCATGTAAACTCTTTTTGAGATGAAGTACAGTAAATGTAGTATAATTGGGGTCAACAGAGTTTTTTGCAAAAAACTATGTTTTAAATCTATCATAAACTGAAAAATGCTTTAAATGCCATATACTGTTAGTGCTTGTATAAATGACTACAGTATCAATTGTGGTTTTTCTTGGGTTGTCTTAAGTGTCAAATAGTAAATCAAAACATAACATTTGACCCTTAAAAGTCTTGAGATTGACTGTCAGTAAGAAATAGGAGCCTTAATTAATCTTTTCTTTACCATCTGATTTTCCTTATAGATTTAGTAAAATGTAATATAGATTCAGTTTTTTAACTTTTCTTTTCTATTATTTCTCTAGTGTTGTTAATAACAATACTTGTAGTCGAAGGGATTGCTGTGGCCCAAAAGACCCAAGGTAAAGTACTTTCAGTGATAACTTATCACATATTCAGGACTGTGAGTGGGATGGCTTATTGGAAAGGACTGCAACTTTTGAATACTATTTCCATAATCCCTCTGGGGTGTTCCAGTGACCTAAGGCTTTCTGTCAACCTAGCAGCTTCAATTTTATTGGGTTCAGCTGCAGTTAACTAGAGTAAATTGTCAACATAAAGACTTGCTGATAATTTTTTTTAATGGGCATCACTAGTAGCTCCTAGCACACTATGGATTATGTCCAAAAATTAATGAGATTCATGCATTATCACTCAGCAAAAATAAAAATCCTTTTTTCAATGTAGACAAATGAACTATTTCCATCAGTATCTTGTTAAAAGCCCTGTGGACCTCTTCTCATTATCCTTGTTTATGAAAGAAGATAAGCTAGTGTGCTTTTCAAACCAGATTTTCATGTCAGAGTTTAGAACATTTACTGGTTTACTTTTTACTTTCATCTAAGTTGTACAAACACATGACAAAAATCAAAGTATTCTGAATAGCTAATTATGAAAAAATAGTTTTCTGTCCTCTGCTACTCTACTTCCTTCTCCATGGAGATAACCAGAATTTTAGCTGAATCTTGGTATTTCCCTGCATATTTCTAAATAATATGTTATACTATTACTTCTTAATTATTTCAGTTTTACATATTTAGGAATATTTTCCCACCACAAAAGATGAAAATTTAGCTCTTTCATGCACCTACTTATTCTACCCCTGACTATATACCAGTGTTCTATTACTTTCCTTCTGTACCACCTGTTTTGGTGTAGTTCTGTCATAATTCTGGTCACACCTATATTGAGAATTTAAGTCACTCATGGAGCTTTTTCCATATGAAAATTTTGTTTTTCCATTTAGGAAATTTTTATTTCTTTTTTCCTTGTTTAAGTTTTTAAATTCCTTTTTTTCTTTCTTTTGTTGTTGTTGTTGTTTTATTCTTAAGAAAATTCTGTTTGGTTATGGAATATTCTTGTGATTGTTTTTCTGTTTTCCATCTGTCTTTCTACTCTTGTTTTCTTCTCAGTCTGTATTGAGACTTCCCCAGCTTTACCCTCTAAACCAGGAATTGGAAAACTTTTTCTGTAAAGGGCCAGACAGTAAATATTTACGATTTTACAGGCCTTACAGTCTCAGGAGCAACTACTCACTTTTGCTGTTGTAGCATGAAAACAACTATGCACTGTATAGGCACATGAATGGACATTGATGTGTTCCTTTGTAAACTTGCCTTATGGTGACAGGCCACAGGTTGTATTTGGCCCAGAGCTACACTTTGCGGTCCTCTGCTTTAAAATTTCTACTAATTTTTCCTTTTTTCTTCTTCTTCTTCTTCATTTTTAGAAAATTTTTGTTTTCTGAATATTTTTAAAGCGTCCTTATTCTTGTTTTATAAATATCCTCTTTTTAATCCAAGGGGATTAAATGACAAAGTTTTGTTTAGTTTTTAGTTTTGTTTTTTTTTTATATAATCTTTGTTTCCTCAGATTTGCTTTCTTCTTGTTTTTTATTCATTGTTTGTGTTAGAGGCTTTCCTCAAATATCTGGTGATTATTTATGAGAGGCGCACTAAAATCTGATGACTTAGCCATCTGTAGGTGTAGAAGGACTTGTTTGCCGTGGCCCTCGCTGGTGAGGGACCCAGCACTGGGGAATTCCGAGTCCGTATTGCTGGCACTTTTCCTTTGGACGCTTGAGAATCCCCAAAGAGGAAGCTTTCCATTTCCAGCTCAGACAGACTTTCTGCATCTCACCTAGAGGCTTTGAAGGAGTTGAGTGGGGGAAGAGGCCAGGAATGCCATTCGCGGTGTTAACATTTCTAGTCTCCTTGTTTGCAGGCTGGTGTGGTCACCCCCAGCTGTGCCAGGTGTCTCCTGGTCCTGTTACGTTGCTTTATCCTCTGCAAAGGAATCTCATTTTCTGATGTGGCGACAGAGCAGCAGCTTCCTAGATTTGTAGAATAGGGGAGGGTCTTAGAAATCTGACTGATTCTGAAAAGACTTTTAGCCAGGCCTCCTGTTTTTAGAAAGGACAGTTTCACCACCACCTGTCATGCCCTCTCCTGCTCACCAATACTGCCAGTTGTTGTGTTTGCACGTCTTTGTCCCTTTTCAGGGGGTTATTTTTGCCCTTAAAAAACCCAGTACTGTTAGTGGAGTTTAAGGAGAGAGAACTAAATGCATGTATTCAATCTATAATCTTTAACTAAAATCCCTTTGTAATCTTTGGATCCTTTTTGGCTTTTGTGTTAAACTAAATATAGAGGTACCATACCGGAGATAGACCCCTGGGATCCTTTTATTTTTATGGTAGAACTGAATTTTATAGAGTTGCACTGATTTATCAGATTCTCACACACAGCTTTGCCCTTGTAAAATCTAAGCATTTTATGTCCCTGCTCTCCTACAGGGCAAACTTGTCCTCTAGCAGCAAGTTCTTCCCACCAGCACAGCATACAATTTTACCTTTCTCACACTTCCGCTGTATTCAGTTTGTTGCGCTAAACTTGGCAGTGGTTCTTGCAAAATTATATACACTATCTGTGTAACATAGAGTGGGCAATTGTCTGGCTGAATTGTGGGGGAAAGAGAAGAATGCTGTTCTCTTTTGCTGTAATTCATATTTTAAATGCCATTTTTCCCTAAGATGGACAAAATATTGGAATCAAGCATATTCCCGCAACCCAGTGTGGCATTTGGGTTCGAACCAGCAATGGAGGTCATTTTGCTTCACCAAATTATCCTGACTCTTATCCACCAAACAAGGAGTGTATCTACATTTTGGAAGGTATTAACCAATTTCTGTCTTTTAACAGATGAATTTTTACTTTATTGTAAAACTGAGTACATCGGTAATATGCCCAGTTTAAGCCAGTTTGAACAAAATTTATACATGTATTTGAATTAAACTCTAGTAATTATAAATATGTCTGGATATATTTATTATGTCTGGAAAAATTATTATCCAGATTATGTCTGGATATATTATGTCTGGATAAATATGTCTGGAACACAATAACAAAATAATAGTTGAAATTTTATAGGAATTTTGAATCTCCTAAAATATAATTCAACCAGATGCATCAGTGTAAATGAGAAACTTCTCTAATAAGGAAGGAAGGGAGGGTCTCAAACTTAACTGGCATCTCTTACGCCTTAATGCAAATTTACGTCCATAGTTAGATTAGGTCATGTCATTTCTTCTGTTTTTCTATTCATTGTATCTCGTGAACTAAGCAGTAGCTTTTGTAGTCTAATTTTAATCAATAAAGTACACTTAACTAATTTAATAAACAGCATATTCCACTGGGAAACGTCACTGTAGTTCTGCAGAGCAGCATTGTTACTATTGATGTAAAGTGTAACATTAATTATGAATTTCATGTATAACAGTCCTCATGATTTTTATCTGTGGAACAGTAACAGCAGTTGCTTTGCTTTTTCCACTCGTGTCAGTACATTTATACTTTGTGTTGCCCTGATTTGCTTGCTTCTTGTTTTCTAGCTGCTCCACGTCAAAGAATAGAGTTGACCTTTGATGAACATTATTATATAGAACCATCATTTGAATGTCGGTTTGACCACTTGGAAGTTCGAGATGGGCCATTTGGTTTCTCTCCACTTATAGATCGTTACTGTGGCGTGAAAAGCCCTCCACTAATTAGATCAACAGGGAGATTCATGTGGATTAAGTTTAGTTCTGATGAAGAACTTGAAGGACTGGGATTTCGAGCAAAATATTCATTTATTCCAGGTAATGAAGTTGTCTTTTTTTTTTTTTAGTGGGTTTACTCTGGTTTTAGAATCTTATGTCTGGAAAAGAGAGAATTTAGTCAAGTTAATCAGATCAAGGTTTTAAAGAAATTAGCAAGGCCAAAAGGAAATCACTTCATGAATAAATAAAACCAAAAATTGGAAATAGAACTATATCACTTGAATTTTGAAACATTTCATAGATGGCATCACAGTTTTCTTAGATTTCTTTATGTTTTATAATGTATATCAAGGCTAAAAACATCAAGATAAATGTATTTTAAAAGATAATTCAGCAAATGGTCTTATTTTCATAATCCTTACCAAAATTATTTTGGCAGGTTTTTTCCATTGGAATGCTTGAATTAACCACCCATTTGAATAATCTCTAGAAAATATTGAGCAATAGAAACTGCTCTGCACTTGAAAGCAAAAGACCTGTGTTTGAATCCATTCTCTGTTGCCTGACAGCACGGTTGCACCTGAGGGTTGCTATTGGTAAAATGGGAATACCTGGTGTATTACTTTCCTGAGACTGCCTTAACCAACTATAAATTTAGCAGCTGAAAATAATAGAAATTTATTCTCTCAGAATTCTGGAGAGCAGAAAACCCATCAGCTCGACATTTCTTCTGGGAACTCTAGGGGAGAATCCATTGCTCACCTCTTCTAGCTCCTGGGGGCTTCCCCAGCATTCCTGGATTTGTGGCCACATCACTCCAGTCCCTGCGTCCATCGTCACATTGCCCTCTCAGAATCCTTAACTTAATCCCATCTTCTGTTTTGTAATGTAATATTCACTTTTTTTTTTTTTTTAACCACATAAAGTAATACAGGTTCTGAGGATTTGGATTAGGGTCTCTGTTCAACCCACTCTGCCTATCTTACTCTGCCCTGTAGTATGTGCAAACACTTTGAGACCTGCAAAGCCTCTCTGGTGTAAAACTGTGCATATCCCTAATGCAGAAACACAAAGATCTACAAGTTATTGCTCCTGTCTTCAAACAACTTATAGACCAACAAGATGAAAAAGTAACAGTGTACCAATTATATCATCTCTTTGCTTTTGTTTTCATGTAAGAAATTTGTTAATTTAAAAAAATATCCAAATGAAAAGAAAAATCTGTAATCTTACCATCCTATATATAAAAAAAAACACTTTAACAATTTGGTGTGTATCCCTTCAGATGTTTTTCTGTATCTCTTTATTTTGTTTTACATAAGAGACAACAATTATATTACCTGCTTTTTTGCCTGAATAACATAATCAGCTTTTTTTCTTGTCAGTAAACATGGGAATTTTTAAGTGTTGTTTCAGTGTTTATGTTCTCAATGCTGAAAAGATAACATATTTTACTATAATAAAAATAAATTTTTAAAAATTAGTTACCAAAAAAACTTAATTTGAAAGTTTAAATAGGAATTATATACACCAAATTGCCAGAACAAAAGTTGCTAGATTAAAATATCTCAGGATCTTTAAATAGCCTGCAAAACCTATTTCAATGTACAGTTTATTGTATTTAACTGGATGTTCAATTCTTGTTAAAGTTGTCCTTAATTCCAGGTACTTTCTTCATAGTTATCATATTTTAAAAAGTAGGGGGGAAATTTTTTAGCTTAATTGAGAATACATCTCAGAGACTTTCCTCTTTTAACTTAATAAACTAAACCCAGCCTTGCTGAAAGGGGACAACAACATTTTCAGCTCTTCTGTAGAGAAGTGTCAAAGACAAATTTAATTAAACTGCAGTGTAGTAAAAAGTCATAGGAGCTACCTACCAAATGAATCAGAATTTCTTCATGTGTAGACAATTATTCTAGGATGTTGTCATTATTGCATTAAAATTTCCAGAATTATCCCAGTTATTTCCAGGTATTAACAATTCATTTAAGAGTTCTCTATCCTCAATAGATAACACCAGTAACCAATAGATAACCAGTAACCAGAGAATTTCATTTAAAATACACTAATTTCTTGGGGTGCTGGGTGGCCCAGTCAATCAGGTGTCATGATCTCAACTGTGAGATCAAGCCCCACAACGGGGGGTCCATGCACAGCATGGAGTCTGCTTGAGAGTCTGTGTTTCTCCTGCCTCTTGTGTGCACTCTCTTTGTCTCTCTAAAACAAATATATGAAATCTTTACAATATACCAACTTCTCATTATTATTAGTAGTAGTCTTCTAGATTTACTGATCCCTAAACAAAATTTATAAGTATGACTTGAAATAACTAGACACAGCCATAATTAGCCAGTTATGCACTACCCATTTATTTTGATTTGGGGGAGGGGGTTAAGATTTATTTATTTATTTGACAGAGAGAGACACAAAGAGAGAGTGAACACAAGCAGTGGGAGTGGGAGAGGGGAGAAGAAAAGCAGGCTTCCTGCTGAGCCGGGAGCCTGATGCGGGGCTTGACCCCTGGACCCTGGGATCATGACCTGAGCTGAAGGCAGATGCTTAATGACTGAATCACCCAGGTGCCCCTACCCATTTATTTTGATATTTTTTCTTTTAATGGTTTAACTGTGGACTCGTCACCCACATTATAGAGGCAATATGATAGGGTAAGAAAAATTGTCTGGAGAATTGTAAGCTAGACCTGGCTTTGCCATTATAAATATGGTCTAAGAAAATCATAATCTCTCTCATTCAGTTTCCTCATCTTCAAGGTGAAATATTACATAGTTTTCCTGATCATGATACTAAGCATAATGTATGTAGAAACTCTGTAGTAATATAAAATGCAAATGTCTAGAATATAGTCTAGAAATATAGTCTAGAAATCCTTAGTGTTTTATTATAATTTGTCTGTATTTTAATCATAATCCATATGAAGTTGCTTTTCTGATACGTAAACTAATAGAAAAAGCTACTTTTCTTCAAGTAAGAATCTTTATGTATTAAAAAGCCTGATTTTTAATATTTAAAAACAGTATTCAATTAAGAGCATTGTTTTTGATGTCTGCTTTTTTCTTTCAGGTAGTCCAAACTAGTTAACAAAGATCTGATTCATATATAAGATTTTTTAACATCTTTTTGACACTTAAAGTCTCATTATTTCAGTTAATTGATTTGGTTCATAAAAATCAAATACCTGACCAATTTGCTGAAATCAGTTATTTTGATATGAACTATTGGTTCTTGGTCTTCTATGAACCACTTCACTGGACAGAATATCTTGTATATCACGTAGTCATTTTTTCCCTGCCACTTTGAAAACACTGCTCACTAGCTCTTACTGTGTGTGTGTGTGTTGAATTACAAATAACATAAAATTCACCATTTTAATCCTTTTTAAGTGTATGAGTACATTTACAATGCTGTGTAATCATCACCACCATCCATTTCCAGAACTTTTTTGTTAACACAAGCCGAAACTTTGTGTCCATTAAATATGAACTCCCCATTCCCCCTTTCCTCCAGCTTCTGATACTTACTGTCTATATGAATTTGACTAATGTAGGGATCTCGATAAATGGAATCATTTATTTCCATATTAATATTTGTCTTTTAGTGTCTGATTTCACTTAGTTTAACATTTCAGGATTTATCCATGTTAGAGCATATATCAGAATCTTATTTCTCTGTTAGGCTGAAAAAATATTCCGTTGTGTATACTGTATTATGTTGATTCATGCATCCATTAATGGTCTAGCCATTGTTCTTGACAAAGGGTTGCAAGTTTTCAGGTGGCATAAATAAGTTATTCATGATGGAATCAAAAGTATAAACATTACCATTTTTAAAAAACTTTTCCTATAAATAAGCACCTAAACATGCCCAGGTTTAAAACAGTGCTCTGTATTCTACACCTATGAAAGCTTTCTCTTGCTTTGTTTTTAAATGAAGGATTAGACATAAGACATGAAACCTTAATGTAACTCTAAACTATCTCAATGCCAATCACTTTCTTCTTTTTTCTATTACAGATCCAGACTTTACTTACCTAGGAGGTATTTTAAATCCCATCCCAGGTTTAGTATATCACCTCTTTTTCCTCATGGCATTTTGATCAGTCATATTTTCCTTTGAGCATCGTTCCTCTATTCTTTCTAGATTGCCAGTTTGAGCTCTCGGGAGCTGATGGAATAGTGCGTTCTAGTCAGGTAGAACAAGAAGAAAAAACAAAACCTGGTCAAGCTGTTGATTGCATATGGACAATTAAAGCTACTCCAAAAGCCAAGGTATTATTATGCATTGAGTCACTTTAGAGAAGAACATAATAAGACATTGATTAGCATAATGTATTGTTTTGATTCATGGAGATACTTACTATTATAGAAACTGATACTGCAACTTTTATTTCAATCAGATTGGCCACCTAAGATCTAAGTACACTGCAGTATAGTTTCAGGAAGATGACACAAACATTGAGAGTCTTAAAATCTTTGTACTCCTAGATCAGGGGTGCAAGTTTTGATCCATATGATTACCGATTCATAAAGAACTTTATGAGGAGGAAAAACAGACCACAAGAGGATGAAGATTCTTGTCAGAGTTCTTAGAGTTGGTCATGGCAGTGTCTAAACCAAAACACAAATGTAGCAAGTCTTGCTTCTGTGTTCTTTCCATGATGTCCTCTGCTAACGATGTGGAGCTGTTATTGGAAAGTACTGCAGTAAAGGATGTTTTTAAATAACTCTGACAGATTGGGATTGGTTTGCTGACTACTTTTGCTTTTTGCTCTTAATTTATACTTCTAGGAATATTCACAGTGAAAATTAATAATTAATGTGGATATATGTGAAAAGAGAAATTGAGGATAAGAGAACAAACCATTAAAGAATTACAAAAATTAGGGCAGCTGGGTGCCTCAGTGGGTTAAGGCTCTGCCTTCAGCTCAGTTAATGGTCTCAGGGTCCTAGGATCGAGCCCCACATTGGGCTCTCTGCTCATCAGGGAGCCTGCTTCCTCTCTCTGTCTCTCTCTGCCTGCTTCTCTGCCTACTTGTGATCTCTCTCTCTCTCTCTCTGTGTCAAATAAATAAAATATTTTTTAAAAAAGAGTTGCAAAAATCAAATTTAGAGTTATGGTAATAGCATAGATTAGATAACGTGAAAGCCTGACCATTATAAAACATCTGGATTCATTGGGTAAAATATAACAGATACCCTTTTAAAAGCATAGGTAAGATTTCCCCACCCAAAAAAAGGTAATTCTTATGGTCTAGAAATGAAGAGAGAGAAATAGAAACCAGACCAATAAATTGAAAACTGAAACTGATGGTACAAATACCTCTTGCTGATTTTAGTATCTTCCAGCTACTCACCAGTAGACCTGCCAGGAGCTTGTATTACTAACCACAGTGAGAAAAGGCCTGCAGTTTGTGTGACGTTTATGAGATCCCTCACATAAAACTGGAACCCTTAAAAGGATATGTAATTGCTATGAAGTGGTAGATTAGAAACCTCTTCCACTAATAGGTTAACAGTGAAGAAGCTTACCTTTCTGGGCTCAGTCCCAGGATAAGGCTGGGGTCTCCCCTAAAGCTTTTACCTAGAAACATGTTCTTACTAGAATTTGGGACATGTGTGATTTACATTCCAGGCCCAATCTAGGAACCACTTCGTCTACAAATTAACAAAACGGCCCTAGCCTCAAAAATCTTTTTAGACACCTGGCAAAAATAAATACAGAATAACCACAGAGGGACACCTGGGTGGTCCAGTTAAGTGTCTGCCTTCGGCTCAGGTCATGATCCTAGGGTCCTGGGATTAGGCCCCCTGCTCAGTGGGGAGTCTGCTTCTCCCTCTGCTGCTTCCTCTGCTTGTGCTCTCTCTCATACACAGACACAATAAATAAATCTTCAAAATAACCACAGAGGCTGTAGGATTGCCATCAGTAAAATACTGCTGAAGGTAAGCTCACACCCCAAAATTAGAAAATATAAAGAAACAACCCATCATGAGTGAATTAGCAGACCTAACAGCAAGAAGTTTCTTTGATGCCTAAGAAGTTAGGTGTTTTAAGTATCTTACAAGAAGGAATCAAAAAAACGAGAAAGAAAAATGACCAGGTATACTTTACAAATCACCAAGTAGAACTTCTTCAAGTAGTTATTAAAGGATAGATCTGAGAAAATTACCCAGAATGTAGCTCAGGGGGTCGGGGAGGGGTAGTGGGTAGTAGTGGGGTAGTGGGATTTTAGCAAGAAAATGTTCAAGCTGACAAAAAGCATTGACACAAGTGACTCCCAAAGCAAGAAAAAAGTTTATATTGACACCTCACTACATTGGCCACAAGAGACAATGAAAAAAATCTTTAAAACAACTAGAGAAAAAAGAGCTGTGAGAATCATTAGTAGCAAAATAGGAGCCAGAAGACAATAGAGTAATGTCTTGAAAGTGCTGAGAAAAAAAAATAAGTAACTGCCAATCTAAAATTCAGTATTCAACTATCATTTTAGAATGTGAGCAAATCGGGTCATGATCCCAGGGTCCTAGGATTGAGTCCCACATCGGGCTCCTTGCTTAGGGGGGAGCCTGCTTCTCTCTCTGCCTCTACCTGCCGCTTTGCCTGCTTGTGCGCTCTCTCTCTCTCTCTCTCTGACAAATAAATAAATAAAATCTTTAAAAAAAAAAAAGAATGTGAGCAAATTAAGATATTTCTGGGCAAAAATAATAAATGGACCAAATGCTACAATTAAAATCCAAGTATATTCTGCTTTAGGATAACTATGGGAAATTTTGAAAATAAGGAAAGAGGAAAGAAGTAATAGACAAATACCAAAAGAGATCTGATAGAGCTATTAAAATAGAAATCAAGAAGGCTACCAATTTACAAGGAAGATATAATTTTTTTTTTTAAGATTTCATTTATTTATTTGACCGATCACAAGTAGGCAGAGAGGCAGGCAGAGAGAGGGGAAGGGAAAGCAGGCTCCCTGCTGAGAGAGCCCAAAGCAGGTCTGGATCCCAGGATCCTGGGATCATGACCTGAGCCGAAGGCAGAGGATTTAACCCACCGAGCCACCCAGGCACCCCGGAAGATACAATTTTCAATTTTATGTATTAATATGACCTCAAAATTTACAGAATTGAATTGACATTTGCCGAGGAAAATTGACAGAGCCACAATTATAGTGGGTCACTAATTTCACCTCTCAGTAATTAATCAAGCATACAGAAAAAGTGGTAAGGCTCAGATTTAAACAACACAGTATGCCTGATGAGACATGTCCTACTCCCAACATCCAGCAGATAGGTATTCTCTGCGAGCAGGCATGAAACATTTATAAACTCTGATCCATACGCTAGACTACAAACAGAAGTCTGAAATACCAGTGCTTCATATTATGCAGAGCACCCTCTGACAAAAATACAATTAAATCAGGAACCAGCAACCAAAAGATAACTTTAAAATCCATATGTTTGGCAATTTAATAATATACCAGTTAGTAATTAATAGGTCACAGATGAAATCAGGGTGGAAATTTAAACACACTTAAAATAATAAAATTGAGAATATCAAAGTGTGTGGGATATAGCTAAAAGTGCTCTAAGGGAGTTTTCATAAATGTTTCTTTTAGAAGAAGAAAAAGTTTAAATTTAATGAGCGAGTTTCAACTCAAGTTAAAAGAATGACCAAAGAAATCCAAAGAAAAGGTAGTTAATGAGAGCAGAAATAAATGGTATTTTAAAAAGAATCAACAAAGCCAAAAGCTGGCCCTTTGTAAAAAATAACTATAGGTACACCTCTGCCAAGATTGATTTAGTCAGAAAGACCTAAATAATTAGAAATGGAAAAGGTCATAGAGGTGCCTGGTGGCTCAGTCAGTTAAGCGACTGCCTTTGGCTCAGGTCATGATCTCAGCGTCATAGGGTCCTGGGATTGAGCCCCACACGTGGTCCTGGTCCAACTCCCTGCTCAGCAGAGAGTTTGTTTCTGCCTCTCCTCTTGCTTGTGCTCCCTTTTTCTGTCTCTCCCTCAAATAAATAAGTAAAATCTTAAAAAAAAAAAAAAATAGAAAAGGTCATGAATCTACTATAGCAGAGATTTAAAAATTCTTAATATGACAAACTATGAAGAAAACCTGCTGAACAAAAGAGAAAAAAACCATATAGTTTCTTCAATAAATGACAAAGGGGAAAAAAAAAAGCAGTGAATATAGATTAAAAGAAATGTAAAGTCAAATGAACTTGTGGATTCAAAGTATAAAAATAGGAAACACTACAAGACAGAAGTCTGAACACTGGTGTTTGATATGAAGAAATTATTTATTTGGTTTGATGATAGAACTGATCATATTTTAAGTGGTCTTTAACAATACACATAGAACTCTTGACATGTGAATTCTCTCTGGGATTTGTTTCTGTATATGAGAGGCAGATGTGGGAGGGTTATAGTTCGAGCAAGACTGGCTGAGTTAATAACTGGTAAAGCTAGGGGATGAGGACAAGGTTATGATACTATTTTGTCTGCTTTTGCACATTTGAAATTTTCCATAATCATGCTGTTTTAGACTATAAGAATATAAGTAATTTTATTTGCTGATAAATTTGTTAGTCTAAATGGACAATTTCCTGAAATATATAATGTGTATGTATATGTATATATTTATATATATACACACACATATTTATATACAGTTATATAAAATTTACAGAAACTAAATCAGAAATAGAAAACCTGAAAAATCTTACCAAGTTAACAAAATTGATTTTGTACTTAAAATATATAAACAAAAAAAAAATAGTCAAATTGGATTTTATCAGGTACTCAAGGAACATGTTATATAAATGGTTTCAGAAAATTGAAGAAAAAAAGAACATTCCCCAGCCTTTTCTATTAAAACTAAACAACATGGAGAGTTTTTTGTTTTGTTTTTTTTTTAAGATTTTATTTATTTGACAGAGAGAGAGAGATCACAAGTAGGCAGAGAGGCAGGCAGAGAGAGAGAGGGGAAGAAGCAGTCTCCCTGCGGGGCAGAGACCCTGATGTGGGGCTCGATTCCAGGACCCTGGGATCATGACCTGAGCCGAAGGCAGAGGCTTTAACCCACTGAGCCACCCAGGCGCCCCAACATGGAGAGTTATAAACCAGGATTATTTGTCAAGTGGAGGGGGGGAGACTCTAAAATAACAAACTAAACCTAGTAAAGTTTTTTTTAGAAATCATGACCTAGAATTCTTAGTTTAATATTAGAAAATTGAATGATGTAGTTTCTCATATTAACAGATTAAAG